TACACAACACAGCCGATGAAGACCTACTGGTTGGTTTCATAGTTGCTTAAATCAGCCTCTTATTTTCTCAAAGAGTTTCTCAGATGGTGCGTTTGGTTCTGGAGCCCAGCGACAAAGATCAAACAGATTCAAACTAACACATATTGTGCAATGCAGATGGTCTGTTGCCCTCAGAGAGAAAACTTGGATGTTGAATTTGAACAGGCCAGAACAATTTCATTGTTTAATTTGAACAAAGGTTTTAGATTTTTAAGGAATGAAAGCGGCAGCAAGTATTTATATTTGTGGACAGGAGTTTAAGCATTTTTCCTTTTTGCACATAAAAATAACACGGACAATTAATTGACGATGTGATTTTGTGACTGTCTCAGCTCTAATTTTATTTAGGACTGTATACATCATGACTAGTGTTATTTATATAAAACGGTTTCCCTCCTGTCAAGCTGCACAAAGTGCAAATCTGCATCGTTGAAAGTTACGTTGCTTTGGTTTCTAGCAGCAGTGACTTCACATGGACATATATAACTTTTATTAATTCTAAGTTAATTCACCCCGATCAATAGGACGTTATCAGCACCGAGCAGCAATCTCCTATTAAACTTTAAGAGTTGTGGTTGACTAAAAGATCAGTGGACGATGTGTGTGTATGTGCTGTGTTACATGAGCGTGTGTCATCTTGTATGAGTGTGCATGACGGTGATCTGTCAGCCGCTCCTTCATATGTAATTCGTGTCATTGCCGCTGTCCTGGTATGACTGCGGGAGCTTAAGGCAACAGCTGTTCTCTGCTGCTCGTCTCCGTCCCGTCTCCTGCTCGTCCCCGTTCTGATCAACTCAGGTTCGGGAGAAGGGCTCAGAGACGTTTTGACGCGATCTTCACACGTTGTTAAAATAAGAGGCAACTGTCAACAGAGAATTACTGAATCTGAAACTGTTGGATTCAGCTTTTTGTTATTCAAGGCTTTTGTAAAACGCTGACATACATCAACGCTTCACTTTCTCATTCCCCTGTTAAAAGGGTGATTAATCAAAAATGCATTAGATTCCAAGCAGGGCTGCACAGAGCGTGAAATAATGAGTGAACCGAGTCATAAATGGCAGTAATTGTAGATCACTTAAGTTGAGGCCAAAGGAGGTCCAAGTCACGACCAAGACCAAAAATAACAAAGGTTCAAATTATTCACTTACGGTACCAAACTGCAAATGGTGGCTTGAGATTTTTTATCACATTTTTTAACTTCATTTTTTTTTTAAAATAAAATAAAAATAAATACATTTAGTATTGGGTATATTACACGCCTTTGAAACCTTCATGCAGGAAAACAGAATTAGCAATAAAATAAATAGGATTAGTATTTCTAATAACTCTGCCATGGCCCTGGGTGCATCCATCTTCAGATTATCTGACACCTGTCGAGATACATGGTCCATAATCCAATTCAAACACAATAAAGCTAGTTAAGTTATTACTTTAAACCGAGAGGAAGACGTATATGGGGCCGGTGTGGAAATATTAGCAGCTAATGCTTGCGTCATTTGCTGCAGGTGGACCACCCGTGCTGGCAACCTCACAATCACATATTCCTGATAAAAGGCATGTCAGTGTTGGCGTTGGCGGTGCTATTTGTATATTTTATGATCTCACACACACACACACACACACACACACACACACACACACACAGGAGAACAGGAATTAACTAGTCATTTTGTGAGACTTAACAGGCAAAACATGGGGCGAGACTGCGATAAATCAGAGTCACAAACACCTGAGAGTCTGAGATAAGTCCAAGATGAAAAAGAAACATAAACAGAGACTGGACTTCAGACCGAGACCGTACTGGAGGGCAGCACTGGCAGCATCGACACAGTAAGAGGCCATCTAAAGCTCATTAAACTTTGTTTCAAGCTGTTTCCTCTTCCAGATACTGAATAACCCATTTTTGTGTAGGAGCCGATCTGACAGTCAAACAAAAGAAACCATAATTTTTTAAGACAACTTTTGTAATAATTAGGGTGATAATTTAGTTCCTAGATCCCTGATTCCCTCATATGTCCCTTTCTGAGGAAGTCTTCTAAAAAAAGGAACATGTAATTATGTTTGACTCACAGTGAAAAAACTGACAAAAAGGACAGAATTTGAAAAGGACCTTCTTCTAATTTGAGTTTCTAAGAACATGGCTGTCTCAATTTATCCTGTTGAGTTCAGACTTCCGTGGTCCTTTCAAGTCTTTTTTGCTTGAGTGCAGCAGCAGCGTCAGTCCTATAATGGCGAATGTCCCGACTGACAGCCCGCACTGCAGTGTTGCCAACTTAGCGCATTTGTCGTTGGATTTAGAGAATTTTTTCAAACAGGAAAAGGTACAAACCAGGTATAAGGCTGGACTGTGGATGGGTGCCAACTGTGTGGCTTAGGGCTACACCTCTTGTTCACCCAGCCGCCCTGGTTTCAAGGCTGCGCTGAAGCTGCAGGGGAAGCGGAGGAGCACTTCCGATACACCGAGCCTCACCTCCATTGCGGCAAATAAACTGCTTTCATTATTACTGAAGGAGAGAGAGGAATAACAGGAGACACACGGAGCGAGAGAGAGCTGCAGAGTGTAACGGACACACACTGACCATATCCAGTTCAGCCATACACTCGGTTTTGACCTGGTCAATAGTTAACTTAGTTAGCTTAGTTTCACTTCGTTTTTTTTTATACCCAATCCGGCAATTCATCATATTGTGGATCATTATGCAACCTCGCCCACTTGGCTTTGCAAATGAGTCGGCAGGTCGACATATGAGAATGAACAGGCACAGATTTGTAAGAGCAGAATCAGATTTGATCGTGCAGCCGTCTCTGCTCTTTCCAGCTGCTTGGGCAGTTTCTGAGCACAGGAAACACCCACGTCTGGGATGTTAGGGTCAAGTCCAACCTTATGACTATTCAGGACAACATGTGATTTACATACTGTGCGCCTTTAAGACTAGTTTCATTTATTGTGTGGATCTGCACTGAGGATTGAAGTTCAGCTAAATTCTGGGGATAAAACTGATCTGCTTACTGTTACCTAGTTTATTCATACATCTATGGCAGATTTGCGCCACTGGAAATGCTGTCATTTTGAATATAGCCAGAGTCCATAATAATTATAATCATTGCATCATTATTATTATCATCATAATCATTCTTCTTTGTTTGAACCATCAGTTTTTTTTTCAGTACAACCGACCTTATCAGGCTCACTAGAGTTCTGAGGTCAGGGAACTGATTCATGGTTGGTTCTCATCATTTTCTCTGTTAAAATTATTCATTTATTATTCAAACAGAAAAAGAAGAAATAAAAAAAACCTTACAACTGGTTCAGAAAAGCACTGAAGCTTTAGTGATGTCCCACACTTCTAATTCGCTTTGGATAAAAGCATCTGCTGGTAAATGTAAATGCTGTAATGTAACATGGCCACTGCTGTATAAAGCTAGTAACTGCTTTTAAATCAATCTGAGTCTAAACATGAACAAGACTAGGTATAAATCTAGTATGTGGCTGAACAGTGTATGAATGTTTAAATACTAATTTAACATGGCAGAGTTAAATCACACTTTCAGTACCATGGATAGTGCCACTCGGCCAGGCGTGCTAAATCTCTCATTGATAAAATTCAACATTTAATATAAAATAAATCACAAAATGCAACAGCACAACGTCCTGTCAACATAAAAAAATAAATAGGCTAATGTCACAGGAGCACAAGTGCTGACAGTAAAAGTATATTTAAACATTTAAACTGTTCTATAATCGGACTGGGAGAAATCTAACCATAACCCAATAAAATCAAACACGCCAACAAACGGAAATGAGTGCTGTTAAGAAATAAGGGTTTCTGTCCAGTGAAACGCCAGAGGACTTTTAATTTGAAACTGTTACAAGAAGTGTTGAGTTTGCATGCACAATGCAGAAACTTTAGCTGAGTTGAAAACTGTCGTGGATCCACTGTAACGACGTAATAGAAAGTGTTTGTGCCAAATCATTTTGAAAGAGCAACAGCCCAATGGGAAAAGTCCAACATCCGGCCAGCCGACCATAGGTGTAACTTCTTCACTCACTCACTCACTCACTCAGTCACAGACATTTGTGGATGTAGCACTGGCCCGTGGTTGGTCCAGGCAAAAAACTGGATCATTCAGCATCAAATTGAATATGACTTGAGCCATTGAGTGTCAATGCATTTTGATTTTTTTTTAAGATACTTCAGAAACCGAACACGGCTTAAAAATTGCCACTGCCTGGGCTTTTATTTTGAAAGTATAAAGAAACAGTCCAACAGGATGACCAGTTCAAGGTCAAATTAAACATTGCTCTCTTGAGTCCACACACACACAAACACACACAACAGCCAGAAAAGCTAAACATTATGCAAAGACCGACGGCCGTACACTATTGGGATTTTCAAAAGATTCAAAAACAGCTGGTAACTCCTCATTGATTAATCCTCCAAGACTAATTTCACTAACAGACTAATTTCCTCTCTCTTGTTTTGTATTCATCAGCAATTATGCCATTATCTGAGCCACACAAAAGACCGGCACAGGCAAAGTTGAACAAAGGACAATCTTGTTCAGTGTCACAATAACACCGAATCAACTCAAGTAACATCCAGTCGCTCGTACAAACTTCTCCGAGGAAGACAGGCAGAGAGTCTGAGCCCTCAACACGACAAGCTCATTCTGCTCCACTTTGTCTATTTTCTGCTATTGTACTGTGACTTTAAGCAGGTACCACAATTCTCACAATTACACACTAAACAGTGGAAACTCCAGTAATGAGACGCATACACACAGCCTTGCCTTTCTTTCACTCCTTCACATCCTTTTCATCTGTAAGAACTTATTATATCCCTGAAGGGAATCAAATGCGGGTTTGTCTTTCCAGTTTATGTATGAGCCTGATTCTTATTATTATTATCTTATATTATTATTATATATATAATATTATCATATTAGAGTGAGGTTCTTACCAGCAGGGGCATGGCCAGGTCAGCAAAATAAACAAAGGCTGCACCAAGTGTGAATCCCACAGCCACGGGCACGAAAGCAAACGAGCCGTACTTCCCAGAATCCTCTGCCATGTCGATCGCCGGGGCAAGTAGCGACCAATAGGAAGCAGCCAACATTACCTGGGAGAGGCAAAAGGAGGAAGAAGGAGGGAGATGAATAAAAAATTAAAAAAAAAGATAAAACTTTTTATCAGGTTCCAACTTTCAGAAATTTATAGCAGCCTTTTTCTTCTTTATTCACGTCACAGTTCAATTATTTCAGGTCTCCTAATACAACTGATTACATGTATGTTTCTGTCTGCTGACAACAAAAGGAGAATATATGAATTACCTGGGCAACATTTGTATGTGTAATTACAGGCACGCCTTATATAGCAATCTGGGGGCTAGATTATGCTAATGATCGACTCAAGACACACTCATCAACAAGAAGCAATCATCAAGATGTAACGAGGACTTGAAACAATCATAAAAAAACAAACTTTATAAAAGGGAAGCAAGAGAGTTTCAGGATAAGAATATGAAAATGTTCTTGAATGAAGCCCATTGTTTGTGAGGTTTTACTGCCGAGGAGCCGAGTGGTCCTAGTGGAACCTCAAACACCTCTGATATGAATTAGCATCATATTCAGTTTTATATTGTCAATAAACATTAACTTCCCCTCCCTTAAAACTCGAGGCCGAAGTCTCTTGAAGTTTGAAGTGTGTGTGCCTATGTTCATGATATGTGTGCGGGTGTCTGATGTGTTCAGCATCCTCATAGGTAAATTGCCCTCAAAGCATCTTTCTCTTCAAAGCCCAGTCTGTTTGTATCATCTGTCAAAGTCCAAACAGAAGAGGAGAAGGGGCGTGGGGGGTGGGGGGTGGTTCAGTATCCCTGCACACACTAGTATTTCTTTTCATGCTACACGTATGCAAAGCGTATCCGCAGCCTCTGTTGTTTATCACTGAAAAGCTGCAGCGTGCCGATTCTTATTCCGTTTGTGTTCCTCGTTGATCCTCTCATGCCGCTTCCTGACACGCCGTCAGCACTGAAAATGTGAAACACAAGACCGTGTTCAGCCCTGCCAATCAAAAGTAATGGAAGCATATTGTCAGGCTGCAGTCGGCTCCGGCACTCAACAGTAATGTAACCGCCGACATCAGGCCGTTGTCAAAATTGATTGCAACTCACTTCGTGTGGAACTCTGGGAGCTGAAAACTTGTGATTTACTGTAAACTCTGCAATTTTATTCCTGCCTCCTTCATGTTGAACTGAAAGCTTGACAGCAATCACATCCCTATCATGACCACAGAGGACAAATGATCCTTTACTTACTTTCCAAAATGATCTCATCCTGTTTTTCTGTTTACAACATGAACCACCTTGATGCTCCCGAACTGAATCTTTTTTTTAGCTCTTTGCCCCAGTGCGATACGGCCTTAAAATAGTATCACAAGGTATTTTTGTTGGAAGAAAATCTATGAGAATTACAGAACAACAGTAAAATATAAATATAATTACAGTTAAAAAGAAAGAGCAGTGGCACTTTTCTTTACTTTAACTCTCTGATCTTTGACACAAACAGACCGATGTCAGTCAGCTGAGATCAACTTTCGGCTGCTGCACCTTCAGCTTCAATGTTGACCACACTGGGTGCAGCTCTCCTCTGCACAGCCCCCCCCCCCCCCCCCCCCCCAACAGGGTCCAGGAAGTAGCAAGCACACACCTCAAAAATGCATGTTGTGAGGCCCTGCACGTCAATGAAGCTGATTGGTTGCACCAGATTTCTGTAGTGAGGCGGGTAGGAAACTTTCGACACGTGTGCCTGTTTTGTGTTTGAATGTACAGAGAGAATATCCAGGTTTGAAATCAGTACGTCATTAACCAAAGAGGAAGTAAAAAGGCCAGGAAGACTAATTACTGCGGCCTTTGATTTGAATTGAATCTTAACATATGCTTCAAAGCACAGCGCCGCGCTGGACTTAATGGAAGCACTGGTTTTACAGGCATAATTGCGCTACTTATAGTGGGAGCAGCGGCTTGATTAATAATTGTAAAGGTTTCATTTCATTCTGTTCCACCTCGCTTACTTTCCAATTATAGCAGGCGGTTTCATCCAAGGTGACACGGCGGGTCAAACGCAGCAACTGGTTCCAATGGGCTGTTTTTTTTTCGTTAACTGGGAAGCTTGTTAGCAAGTGCGCTCGTCAAGGTGTCTTTGACTCGGCTCCCACCAGTTCTCAGATCAGTTATGATACTGCAGCATTATATATATAGTATTGAATGGTCCAAAAATCTAGAGCACGCTTTCAGACCTGATCTGTGATCAGAAAAGCACATCGCTCTCACAATAAAAAAGGAACAGGCGTCAGGTTAATAACAATATAGTTGAAACAGAAAAAAAGAAAGTTTCTCATGAACACTGTAATACATAGAGTTCAAAGCAGCAGTGTGATATTTCACTGTCGGCAGCTCCAGATGGAGAGGGAGGGAGAGCAGTTAGAAAATGTGTTGGAACTTCAATGCCCAGAATATAACAACACGATATCGCTTAATCTAACACTGAACAATGTGGCTGATCTGTGACACCAGAGGGCACAGAGAGACGAGGAATCTCATTTAGCTGAGCCCTAACTTTCCTCTGAACATATCACTTACTGGCAGCTATTAAAACGACAAACTTTTGCAGGGATGGGTAAAGATGCTGATATCAGTCAGAAGATTGCGATGTCAGAGAAGTGAATCTCTCTCAGCTCGCCTGGGACAGTGGGGAAACGTAATGTACTTTTGTTTCCATCTCTCTCCTCTTTCTGTGACTGTATTACCAATAATCTGTCCTCGTCTTCCTTTTTCCGTTCCACTATCAGCATCGTGCTTCTGATCTCTCTTCCTTTAAGGTTCCTCTTTCTGATCTGCACTTCCAGCAGCCAAAAGCCCTCCAGGTCAATCCCGCAATCACCAGTCGCACTCATTAAGCCTGAGTCTCGAGGCGATTAAAACACCTGTCCACCATTGATGCCAGCGCCCAATTACTGCTCCGTTATCTCAATCAGGGCCAAACACTGAGCCGTTTGCAACTAGTGTCAGATGGAGATGTGGAGCATATTCTGCCCCAGAAATATTCCTGCCATCGAATGAACACGTGAGCGAAGCCGGAATTCATCTGCATATTGTGCAAAAAGTGCTGTCGGAAAACACAGTAAATGTAGTTCTAATTATTGCTTTTACTTTGTTGTGATCTTCTGATCTTGTTGCTGCCTCAGGCCTGTAAGTGTGTAGATCTACAAATTACACAAAGGGGATAAGAGCCAAAGACACGGAGGACATTTCTCTAACTCTGCTGCAGCATGTGACTGTTGCTGGGTTAATTAATCCTCCACTTTGATCCAGGATGTTTGTTATGGACATTCATGTTTTTCTAATTCTAATAACTCTGGTGGGTCCTTCGACTTTTCATGTACCGCGACCATCCGGTTAGAATTTAATCATCAATTTTGTCCGATCACAAAACAAATGACCTTCATTCCGGCTTGATCTGGATATTTGTGCTAATTAGTAAATGTTAGCATGACTTTAGCGTTTAGAGTCATTCATGGAGGAACAAACAAATGAATGAATGAACTGACAAAAACAGAGAAACCAAAACAAACTGCTGGGTCACTGGATCTTTGCATTGAACTTCCCACACAGTTCAAAGAGTCACATTGACTCTAATGACAGAACGAGTGGGAGGAACACGAGCTTGATTCAACTCTAACTCCTTGACAAACAGAAAGCTTTCATCGGCTTTATAGTTCTAGTTGTTGAGTAGGACCTTGGCAAACGTCTGTGCCAAATCTATCTGTGTAAGTTAAGTTCGTTATATTCAAACCAAGAGGAGAATCTCCCCAAACGAAAGACTTACGGCATAATTTAAAGTTTTCTTTAAGACAAAACCGCACAACAGAACATTAACCAACTGGGTAGAGGCCGTGAAGTGTCCCTGAGCTGGACGGTCAGTCATATGACCCGTCAGGGTGAACACAGGTCCAGGTTACAGTTGCCGGGGCAAAGACACCTCAACACAGAACATCTGGAAGGCATCAGCATGATGTTTTCACTTTCTTCAGTTCGAATAAACCGAGCGCAGGTGCAGTGAAGAATTAAGGACAAACAAATCATTCGTACTAATTTGACTCTCACACGTTTAGCTCAACTTCACGACTACAATTGCGATCGGCTGGAAATTTGTTATCAGTGCATTCCTAAAGAAATGCCAAACTGCACTCTGAAATACTGCTTTGTACTTTCCGGTTAAAAATAACGTCAGACTGGAACAATTTCTCTCCAGTGTAAAATTACTACTTTTCCCCATTTTAAATCAACCTCGTCTATAATACACCGGAAAACTAACGTTTCAAAGTCGTAGCTTAATCAAACTTAAGAGAGAGAGAGAGAGAGAGAGAGAGAGAGAGAGAGAGAGCATCATTAACACGCTCTCATTGTTAATGACTCTCTTCTGGACACCATGGGGTGCTCAGGTCTCACGACGCTCGAGTGCAATCACCTGCATGCACGTTACAGCATTATCAATCCTGCAATCATATATTTACCCCCCCCTGAGCTTGGGGGTTAAACATGAGCAATGAGCGGCCTATTAGTTATTATTAATCACATATTAGAAACCAACACTGAGCAATTTAATGGTTTCATAACTATACGGTTTTTCCATATAATGGTCTATATATATATATGTATAGGGATTTATTAGAAGAGAGCTATTATATGGCACATTAAATGGAAGAAACAAATAGTGGGCTGTAGTCTTTTCTAAGGGGTGTCCTTGCTTCCTTCTGAATGCTCCAGTTTCTGAAACAATTACAGTTTTTTTTTTAATCTAATCACAGCCTGTGGGCAAATGAAGAAATAAGCAGGACGGATAGTTTGATTGATTACCGCGATAAAGACGAGCCATAAAGCGACTTGATTACTGCCCTACGCAGACGCCCTACTTCACAAACCGAGGATAAACCTGGGTCTTGTGAAGCGCGTGTCCATGTGAGGAAAATATTCACCTCATTATCAGAGCGAGACGGACAATACTGTGCATGTTTTCATCCCACTATCGATGCGTTTCGCTGCCCCATACCCCACCAGCT